TGGTCACATAAATAAAAGAATCCAATATATCGGTCTCTTTTTTTTATTTTGGTCACTTGGGAAAATCCAATATATCGGCCGGCCCTCTGTTAATTACAAACTAAGATACGATCCAGTGTCTAATATTATCTACTCACTCAATAATATCAAAAGAAGATCAAAAGGAGAAAACAAATCCACAAAGATGTTTCAGTTTTCCTTTCTCTTGATGATACTCCTCTTCCCCTTACTCTACATAGCCTACAACATCAGATTTAAAACGCAGCGGTTTAACCTACCACCGGGTCCAACAGGTCTTCCGGTGGTTGGACATCTCCACCTCCTAAAACCACTCTTCCGCAGAGTCGTTGTCATATCATCTTACCCTCTAGTTAAGGAAGTTAAGGAATGCTTCAACAGCCAAAACGACATGGCTTTGTCAAACCGGCCTACTTCTTTAACAAACAAGTACATTTCTTACAACAACACCACCATCGGAACCTCCCCTTACAACGACCATTGGAAAAACCTTCGGCGCATCAGCTCCGCCGAGATCCTCTCCCCACATCGCCTTCAGAGCTTCTACCATGTCCGTAGAGACGAGATCCATCTGGTGCTCAAGAGCCTAGCACGTGGCAACACCACCGATGGTGATAATAATAAACTCGATTCTTTCAAGGAGGTCGAACTCTTTGCGGATCTAACGCTCAATAACATGGTGAGGATGGTAACGGGGAAGAGATACTATGGCGATGATATTCAAAACAAGGAAGAGGCAGAGATATTCAAGAATCTCATCAAGGAGGTTTTTACAATAACCGGCTCGAATAATCCTGGCGATTATCTTCCCTTCTTGAAATTCTTTGGGAACAAATACGAGGAAAAAGTGAAACGTATTGGCAAATCCGTGGACCAAGTCTTGCAACGTCTCCTCGACGAGTGTCGGAAAGACAAGGAAGGAAACACTATGATCAATCACTTAATGTCTTTGCAGGATCAAGAACCTAAGTATTACAACGACGTAACCATTAAAGGACTAATGATGGTAATTAATATCTATAGTTATTATTTTTCCAAAAAAATATAAATATGATTCCAAAAAAAAAACAAGATTATATAATGAACCTTCTAATTCATTGTTATATTCATTTCATTGTAGTTCAACATATTTCTCTCAAGTCCTTATTGGTTACACTGTTGGTTTGGAAAACCAAAATTTTTATTGTTATTTTTGTAATATATATATAAAACTAGTGATGGTATTTTTGTTGAAACAAAATTTTAAAGTGTGGTATTTTAAGGAATTTCTCATTTCTAAAATACCTAAATTTTCATGAATCATGTAGGCGATGATACCCCCTGGATCAGATACTTCTTCGGTTGAGATCGGATGGATTCTGACACATCTGTTGAAGCATCCCAATGTGTTGAACAAAGCAAGAGCTGAGATCGATGAAAAGATCGGGCAGGACCGTCTCACCGACGAACAAGACATCTCTGATCTTCCTTGCCTTCAAAATGTTGTGTCCGAGACATTCCGGTTATCTCCGGTAGCTCCGATCTTGGTCCCTAGAGAAGCTTCCGAGGACATAAAAATTGGTGGGTATGACGTGCCTCGTGGTATAACAGTCCTGATTAACGCGTGGGTCATCCACAGAGACCCGACGTTCTGGCAAGATCCAGAGAAGTTTGATCCAGAAAGATTTAATGGAAACAAATGCAAAACTGAAGAATCCTCGGGAAGTGTAAAAACTCTGATGCTGTTTGGGAGCGGTCGGAGAATGTGTCTTGGTTCTGGACTCGCACATAAGATTATAACATGGACAGTAGGAGCATTGGTCCAATGTTTCGATTGGGAGAAAGTGAATGGTGAAGAGATTGATATGGAGGAAGCTCCAGGGGGTGTGATGCGAAAGCTTTAAACCTTTACGTGCCATGTGCAGACCGCGACCACTAATGTCTAAACTTTTTGCTTAGACAGCTTAAGAGAATTGGTCATCTGCTATGTCTCCACCTTTGCTTGCTATTTAATCAATAAAAATGCCAAACATACTTGTTCGCCATTTTGTAGTCGATTCATCCTCTGTAATCGATTGTTGAGGATTTCTTCTGGATTCGAAATGCACGAAGATGGAGAGACACGGGTTTGTGCCAATCGTTACGGTGTAGTTGTGAGTTTTGTCGATAGCTTTCTGGGTTTTAACAGTGAGTCGTGCTTACATAGTTTCAAGTTAAAGTACGATTCGGATATGTATGATAGTGCTCATTTGACCCAGTGGATCAACACTGTTGTTGAGCGGAAAGTTGATCTGGTAGACGATGCTTGGTCCTCGAATGAAGTGGATATGCCTTTAACTTTTTACACTTGTAAGAGCTTTGTATCTTTAAAGCTCATTAGCGTAATCTTGTCCAAAGTTTGTTTCTTTACCTTCTCTTAAAGCTATGGAGCTAACTGTAGTTCGCTTCAGCGACGATTCGGGTTTCGAAACGCTTATCTCAGGATGCCCAGTTCTAGAAAGTTTATTTATGATGATAGACAAGTTTTACGTGTGTGTTATCAGTCTCTCTTGAGCTTCACTTATAATGCGGACGGTTCTGAGAATTGGGATGAAGATCTTGTAGTTGCAATTGATGCTCCGAGGCTAGAGTATCTCAGCCTCAGTGATTACCGAACCGCCACTGAAGAATCCAAGTTCCCTTGTAGAGGCGTGCATAGACACTATGTTTAACTTGATTTTTTAGAGGAAGTTTGATCCAAATGATCTACCAAAGAGAACTATGATCCGTAATTTTCTTCGCGGGATCTCTAGTGTCAAAGATATTATCATCACTTTGAATACTCTTGAGGTAATCTTTCACTATTTGAATGCTTAAAATTCTTTCCCTGAAACGTTATTTTTTTATTTTCCCTTGCAGGTCATCTATAATTACTCGAGATGTGAAACATTACCCTTATTCCGTAACCTATCTTCCTTGTGTGTTGAATTCTACGACTACAGGTGGGAAATGTTGCCAATCTTTCTTGAGAGCTGCCCGAATCTAAAGTCTCTTGTCATGGTGAGGATTGTCTACGAAACCATGAACTTCCTATCTTTAGATGCAAATGGTGAAAGTATCATATATTGAACTTGTGTTTCTTCCACTTTGTTGTATCGTACTTGCAGGGATCTACTAAATACGCAAAGGAGGAGGGGGTTAGTACTGTATCTGGACCTCGGTGTCTCCTAAAATCTCTCGAATACGTTTGAGATAGAAAGGCCACTGAAATGGGGAGCGATGGAGATGAAACTAGTGGGTTACTTACTTGAGAACTCAACAATCCTCAAGAAACTAACCGTATGGTTGGATGATTCCATGAAGAAAGAAGAATCTGTCATCCTCAAAGAACTCCTTACCGTTCCAAGAATCTCTACATCATGCCAAGTTTTTGTTCTCTAGTGATTCTCATAGTCATCATCAATGAACATACAAGGTTGTCTTTGAGTACTTAGTTAATATGAACTATGCGTCTATTAGTTTATAATGATATGGAAGTGGCGTAGATCGTTAAAGAATCATATTTGACTTGTGTCAGAAAACTACTAAATCTTGAAAGATCATGTACCGGATTCTGAAGATCGTCGTGGAACAGTTCCACATTCGGACTTCAGAGTCTCCCGATTAATAAGAAATGTAATTTTTTCTAATTAGATGTAGATGCGCACCAAACATATTTGACTGTGTCATAAAACTAGAACGTTTAAAGGTTGAACTTGCATTCGTCAAATTCCTTGCAACCAAGAACTTGAATTCTTCTTGATACCGTCGTGAACTTCATCACGTATGAAATGAGTAAACGACAATCAACTTCACAGTGGATTGGAACAGGATCCGAGTGTGCGATTAACCACCAAAAGAAAGAAAAATAGCTTCCAAGCAGAGTACTTCACGTATTGTCTAAGACAAAGAAATAAGTTCTAACACATTGCTTAAGTTTCATGGTTACCAAATTGGTTTTAAAGATGGAATGTATGAAATTTTTACGAACTCGTCTTTGTCAACACAAAGTATGCTCCAATAGCATCCAAAGCGGATCCGGATCGTCCATGGAATCCGACAACTGACGACCATTGTCCTCGAGCACAAACTTTGTTGCTCCAAATGTTACAGATTTCCTCCCTTTTGATGTTGTGAAGGCAAGACTCGTGATCACCGGGGTGCTGAAGGAACCTACCTTACCGTATGTTCCCTCCACAGAAGTGATATATTCGTTAGCATCAAGCAAAAACTACAATCAAAGATTTTTGGAAATGTAAGTGTTGTGTTTTACATATATACAACATTGATACAAAAAGTAAGTTATCATTCACTATAAACGTTTGTTAATTAGTATGTTTATAATGTTCTCTTCTATCGATCCGTTATTTGTTTTCAGTATCCCTATTGAAAACACAAAACGATAATATTTATATTCTTATAAATAAGATATTTAATAGCTAGAAAACTTTAGAGCCTCTAAATCTCATGACTCATCCTGTCTCTACGGTTAGTTAAAAACTTAAAAACTGAATATGATAACAATATACACTAAATTTAACAAAGTAGTAAAGGAGAGACAATAAAATATTCAGAGGACAATAAGATAAAAATTGGATACTCCATTTAGTCCAAATGAATACTATCCAAACTAAGTCACAACTTAATTAAAAATTCTTTTAAACATATAAATTCATTATGCCCGCCCGGGTAAGTTTCATCATATAAAAAGAAATCGAATGATAAAATTAAAAATTTCATGGAGAC